CGTTAAACCAAATGATAAATACAACGAGTAATAATAATAATACTCATAACAATTGAGTGAATGTTATGCTTTCACAATAAATATCTCACAATTTTTGTCATCAGAAATAAGACATAATTTGGTTATCTCTCTACTTGCTCTCTCTCTCTCTCTCTCTCTCATCGATTCCCAGCAGAAATTTAATCTAATAATAGCTTTTTTGCCTTTTTGATCATTAACTCCACAATTCGTGACACAATTGTTATGTTATATTAAGGGAGAGAGAAATATGGCAAAAGAAATATAAGGTTTTTTTCTTATGATTTATGATTACATAAAACACACGAATCTATCGCCAAAAACACTGCACTATTTTCTTTATTATATTCGTACGGAAAATGAAATGAATTAATAATAATAAGACACAAACTTTTATGGCATTATAATTCATTTTTCAAGCCATATATGCAAAATAAAAGACAAATATTGTATTAAAGACAGTATATTAATGACAAGTAATTAATTTAAATATTATATAAGCGAATATATTGCCAAGTCGATGATTTGTGTGGGCATTTGATTTTATAGTTTTAATATCATGTAAGTAACAAGGTGAACGCATAACCCACTAATGTAATCATAAATGCATAACTACTGTAGCTATGTATTAACGTTAATACAGCAAATTGCATGATATTTTTGAATATATAAAATTAATTCAATAATTTAATTAGCATTAAAACATATAAATATTAATGACTTGTTTATAGAGTATAAATATACCCATATATTAAAATGTAAAGTACATTATCGCCAAGTGTACTAGCACATACGATAATAATCAATACACACCTGTAATAAGAGATGTTTTTCCCAGTAATTTTTTGTCAGACATTTCAGCAAAAAATAAGCAAAAAATTTAATTAAAAACTTTAAGTATTATTGACTATAATATTCAAATTAAACGACAAATATTTAAATTAAAAATATAATACGTTTTTTCGTATTTATTATATTTGTATTGATATAACAAACTTCTCCATTAAAACGCTGACAACACATGTCTGGGCTGTTGGAGGGATGGACTCATGGAGAATACCTCCCATTCCTTTAGCATTTAGATAACGAGGCGCTAAGTTTATAGCTGATGGAGCTCCGGTAGTTTTAGGCTTTAATACCGGTGCGAGAAAAATAAATACCGTTTTATTAATTAGAGATTTGCCAACACATTGGTGAATTAATTTAATTATATTTACATAAAACAACATTAAAAATCACATTTATTTGCCTCATATAAGTAGGTTGCCTTATGTCACCATAAAAAACTACTGTCCCTCTCATGCTATACCAATCCCTCAATAATCCATCAAATTTTATTTTTCTCATATGTTATATGTGTTTGAGATTAATAAAACAGATTTAATATGATATTTTTCACTCGCATTACAGTAAACAGTCCCTATAGTGCACTGGTGAATTTATTCAAGTTAATAGTTTTAATGCAAATTACGATTGGCAAATACACACTACCGTATATTTATACCGTATATTTACAGATATTTATAGTGTGTTACAAAATAATTGCTGTTAACATATAGCATAATAAATGTGTTTTATAGCCGTTAATTAAATTCTAATTTTTGTTGTCTGTACACTATTAAAACTTTTATAACATTATACATGGTTGTAGTTAAATGAGCTAACTATTGCATAAATAATGCAAAATGCAATTATACCCGCATTTCTGTATCAAGTAATGAAGTAGTGAACGTTAACTATAAAGTTTACAAATTAAATTTTGAGTTAATTATAATTAACAGTGCATTTGTTTTTTGAAATAATAATACACACAATATTAAGATGAATTCTCTTTATATACATTTCTAATAATTTCCATACATTTCACTGATAATTAAAATAAGTTATTGAAAAACATATCAAACTAATCAAATATTTTAAAAGTTATTTATAGCTACTAATTGGAAAACTTATAAAAAAATTTCCAATTGTTATACATTTTGTAATAAACATTTAGCACTAAATTTCCTTCAAATCTCATTCACATTATAGCCAACCCTGAACTCTACAGTACGGTATGGCTATGTTTCTCTCATTCACTGTTTATTTCAGCGATATTTGGCGTTTAAGTAAACATTTATTTTCGTTATATTCGTGTGAATGCCATGCAGTAAACTATTTGTATGAAAATTTGAAGTTTTCGATAATATTTTATGGGAATTTTTTCCCATCAGATGTACGTAAATGTTAGCATTGAAACTGCGAGAGAGTGAGAGAGAGAGAGACGAGTATTTAGTAGTGTTTAGCTCTCTCTTGGCATTTGAATTAGCAATTGATGTGTGTTTTCACACAATTTCTGTTCACAGTTTGACTGCCAATAGAAACAAGTAATGACTTAAATCGCGAAAGACGTACGAGTTTTGTGAATCATTTTGATATTTATATAATAAATATAAAGTTATATTTAAGTTATATTGATCTATCAATCGACATGGAGAGAGAGAGAGAGAGAGAGAGAGAGAGAGAGAGATGAAATGCATTCAATTAATTTAATCTCAAGCAGGAATTGATTCATTAATTATTATTATTATATTTATGCATTGCTTCAAAAACCCGCGTCAATACTGATTGATAAGAAAACCCGGTTTCACACAATCGCTACTCGTATGCAATGTTAACTTATGTGGGATTAATTGGCTTTTTATCAATTGATTGACATATTATATAAAAAGTCTTAATATTTTTCTTAATTTAAATAAAACATGTTTGTCAGAAAAAAATAATAAAATTGTTTCTTATTGAAACTAAACTTTGTTTTTGCTATTTATGTGATGTAATGATAATACAGTTCAAAAATGTGAAGCAATAAATTAAATTTTGAAATCTATAATCCATTTTGTATTCACGTTTAAAAGTAAAACTTGTTTAACTTTAACATGATTAATAAATGATAAAACATTTCGTACGTAACATACACTTATGTAATAAAACTACTACTCGAAAAAAGGTTATTCACAATAAATGTACGCTATTTGAGTGAAATATTTTTCATGCATAAGTTATTAATAATTAATATACGATATGAATATTGGAGTGACTGCTGGGCCAGGTATTGAAATATAGAGATAAAAAAAGTTTCTCAAGTTTTTACTATATTTTTATCGAAAGCCGGAAAATTGATTAATAAAAACACTTGTTTATGGTTTTGCCAATGTACTGAATGTATGTATAATAAATTTATATTAGACATATATATAAAAAGGTAAGTAATGATTGAAATGAACTTCAGAGATAAGTGGGAAGTGGGGGCCAGGAGTTGTGGAGTACCGGAGCACATGCCTAATGAGTGACAACTCATTGATATGTTTATATTTTATAATTACAATGTAGTGCACTATACTTTGTTATCAATATTTCCTTATACAGTATTGTATTTTCTAAATAACTTAATTTAAGTAATTTTATCCAGGTAAATATTTTCATAAATATTTATGTGGTCCAAAATTTACCAGACATTTGCTAAGTACAGGAATATTCACGATTAAACTAATCATATGTTGAGGTCTTATTTAAATTAATCCAATAAATTAATTCTCGACGAAAATACTTAAATAGGATTACATTAAGAGTGAGAGTATGTGTCGATACATAGGATGCAAAAAAGTAATGGGAATTATTATATGGGGAAAAAATTGTAGACAAATATTATGTGAATCCCAAGAAATATATTAATATATTTATGTAGAATATGAGTTAAGAATATTCTTAATTCTGGTATTAAATGCCAATAAATAATTTAAAAAGAAAATATTTTATATAATTATTACTAGATATTACTGGATATTAAAATAGAAAATAATTTTCAAGAATCACTTAGACTAATAGCTTAAAGGGCAAGGGTTACACACACATACTGACCAGGGCATTACATAATATATTCTCTATATATGAAAATTTTTGATTCCGTATTCACAAGAATATAAACGCCTACTAAATGCATACATAAATGTCAAACATAGTCCACACACACGTACGAAACCGTAAGCGTATTTATAATTGAAAACTAATTAAAAAAGCTAGAATTCATTTGGAAAGTAAGTAGTATGGCAAAAAATATATATTATTCTGAATGTAAACACCGATATATGAAATGAATATGTATATACGTGTATTGATATATTATATAAATAGTGTGTAGATTGCAGTCCATGTGTAAGAGAGTGAGCTAAGTGTGTCGATTGCTCGCGTATATCCAGTTTAGCACCGACTCAGTGGCTGAATGCTCCGTACGATTGGCGAGCGCCCGTGAGCACAGGGAGTCTGAGTGTGTTGTGTATAGCTGTGTGTTGTGTATAGTGAGGGGGGAACTGGAGATGCCTTTTCTCGCCAAAGAATATTACACTACAATTGCAGACATACTGTGTATGTATTGGAGAAAAACATAGAGAGTATGTGTTGTGTATGTGTTTGTGAGCTATACTTACAGTGAATAGTGAATGGAGAGAGAGGTTCTCCAAAATGGATAGACATATACTCACTAAGACTCTCTCTCTCGCTCTCTCGCAGACTCTCTCAGACTCTCTCCCCAATACTCACTCCAGTACCTCACTCTCGCTCTCTCTCACTATATCTCTCTCTACTCCTCAGTTGTGTGACCAGTGATGGCTCACTGATGGCTGTGTTGTTGGTGTTGTCGATGGTGTGTATGTGTGTGTCTGTGCTATGAGTGCTATGGGAATCCTGGTGGCCAGGGATCTATGGTAGGCCATCGCCATCGCCACCACCATCGCCACCTCCACCATCCGCATCAGTCTCCCTATCGCACGATACACCGCATACTCACTGAGTCCAGCGGTCGCGAGCTATTACCACGGATTACACCACCGATTGAGGCGATTATCAGAGAGAGTGTGTGTTATCACTGAATAACACATCGAAACAAAAACTCGTATTATATATAAAAAACATAAACAACTATACATTTCAGACATTCAGTGTGTGGTGTCTTGTGTTGTGTGTCTGTCTTATCGGATCCGATAAGCGGACCATTCGTTCATTGAGGCGCACATCCCATTGTCCAGTGCTGTAGCGGTCGACATACCCGAGCCCTACCACCACAATGGCTGACTTGGAAGCGGTTCTGGCGGACGTCAGTTACCTCATGGCGATGGAGAAGTCAAAGTCCACGCCCGCCGCCAGAGCCTCCAAGAAGATTATTCTACCCGATCCCAGGTATGGCCATACAGTAGCGCATACCTGTGTCCACCTCTGCCTTCCATTCCTCCCTATACCCCATGTTATAGTTATTGTTTGCAGAATAATATGTATGTATCACCAGAATATCAGTGTTTGTGTTTCGAAACACCAGGGACTGTTTGTTTATTATATTGCAATTTATTTTTCGCATTCTCTCTCTCTCTCTCTCTCTCTCTCTCTCCCCATATAATGAAGTGTTGTATTAGTGAACCACTACTGATAGAGTGTGTGATTGTGTGACACGTATTGCTGTACGAAATTCGTGATGAATTCAAATCTCCAATTCTGTGTCTAATTGATTGCAAACACATTGTATTGTTGTTATTATAATAGCCATTCGTATTATATTATTGGTAATGATCTCACAAACACTCATTTGCGACATATTATTATGTATTAGACACTGAATTACCAGTGAGTTATGTATGCAATGTGTAGTGTATTATGAAATGGCACTCAACTCTTCATTTGATTATCGATTTACACGAATATATCATAAGCGAAAAATTCTGGCAAAAATTCATTTTTCAAAAATTCAGTTTCCTTTCGCTTCTTAACCTTTCGTTGGATTTTGAGAGAGAGAGAGAGAGAGAGAGAGAGAGAGAGAGAGAGATATTATGTAATAAATATAAATATAAAGAAAGTGAAACAGATTTCTCTCTCTCTCTCTCTCTCAAAAAAACATTAAAATTTAAACTTAAAAAATGAGAGAAATAATATATAAATTCTTTATATACAGTATTTATATTGTATACAGTACATTTATATATATTTGACGATCGATTTTATGATAGTTTATGAAAACATATTATTATTATGATATATATTTTGAACGCATATGTGTTGAGAAATCTCTTATATTAATATATTAATTATCCGTTAAAACAACAACAAAATATATTTTATACATAATTATTAGAATTCAGAGCACTTTTGATGATTTGAGATTTTATGCAAAATTATAGAAAAAGCTTTTTATTGAATTGAATTTTTCGCTATAAAAGGAGCTTTTATTTTACACAACAAAACCGATTCTCTACTATTTTTTTTGCATTTTTATTATACTTTAATCTCTTTTTTCTGTGAACACCAGCTCTCTCTCTCTCTCTCTCTCTCTCTCTCTCTCTCTCTAACTCATTCACTCACCTTTCGATTTGATTTAAACGCAAAATTGTTTTACTCAAATATATTTTATACATAAACATAATAATAAAATCACATATTCTGTGAGATACATGCGAATGGAAATGACAGCACCGTTATGTTATTTTTAGGTGTGTGTGTTAGTCCAGTAAATTATGAGTCGACTTATTAAATGGGAGTTAATTACGAGAGAGAGAGAGAGAGAGAGAGAGCCGGAATTTGTTGGGCGATTGAATTAATATTTCTTAGCGGCAAATGACCCGAAAAAATAGACCATTTATTAAATGAGTGCAAACATTATGTACAGTAGTCTCGCAATATGTGTACGCGAATTCAATTAAATTGCAATATTTGTTGTTGTCAGAGATGTTAATATATTTTTTGTGTGCACATCATATATTTGAAAACATATTGACAAAAATTGCAACAAATAGCTCTTTTTAAAATTATATATTTTTTGTGTCAAACATAATTATTACAAATATTTACATTGAAATCGTCATATAATTGTGTGTATCGTAAACCCAATAAACTCAGCGCTAATAAGTTAAATAAATATTTCTTAGAAATTTTTAAAACGTTTTATAATTTGAATATTAATTGAATAAATAATATCAGTATTATTATTTCACAGAATATTGTTACGAAATACTTAATTCGGTATGAATTGCAAAATATGTATGTTTTTGTTTGAGAAATAATTTCTAAGATTAATATTACATTATTAATAAGAATGCATTAATAGAATGTGGAATATTAGGAATTATATTATTAAATATATATGATATACTGTTATTGAGAATGGGCTCATACATGTAATTCATTGGAAATACATGCTATTTAACGTGCATTTAGCGTAATATTTTTCGTATCAAATATAACACCATTTTTTCATACACTAGGCTTAAGATTTGGGAATAAAATTCTCAGAAATACATATTATTATTTGAGATAGTAATAATAAAATAATATTCTTTATTCTGTGCTTAAACCTCTCTCTCTCTCTCTCTCTCTCTCTCTCACACACACACACACATTAGTCTCTGTCCAAAGATATCTAATATAATGACTATTTTTTGGTAATGTTTATAAATTAAGGTTTTATTTAACGATTAGTTGTTTACATGAAAACGAGTTTTAAAATATATACCGTACACTATAGACACAAAAACATATTCTGGTGATTTAAGAATACTTAATTAATTAATTAAATTTATTCTATTGAATGCATTCAATGAATGTAATTTTAAACAATGAGTTCTGCTATCATAAAAAACACAACAAATTTATTTTGCAAACCATAAAAAACAGGTTTAATTAGTGTTTGAAAAATATTAGAGCTTTTTACGTGTGTTTTAAATGTTTAAATAATTGAAATTTATTAGTATTTTGTTTTTCATGTTGAATATAATAATAATTAAAAAATTATTGTCTTTTTAATATAGTGTGCGAAGTGTAATGCATAAGTACTTGGAGAAAATGAGCGAGGTGACTTTTGATAAAATTTTCAACCAGAAATTAGGTGAGTATTATGTGCACTTAAACCCATGTATATTTATAATACTGTGTGTTTTATTTTAATTTTAGTTTTCTATACTTTAATTAATTCTTGGAAACAATAATATAATAAATACTTATGTATTAACAAATAAGTAATTCTAGGAATTTATTAGAAGTTATTTAAATTATAATATTTTTTCTTTTATTATAATTATTTGAAAAAATAGTTTTGTAAAATAAAAATAAAGTTTTTATTTTCCCTCTATATTTATTACTATTTTATGTGACTCTCTCTCTCTCTCTCTCTCTCTCTCAGCGATTCTTTGATTGAATCAAATGAGAGAGACTTTAATAATAGAAATCGATATCTTTTTTGAGAGAGAATTAAAAGAGATTTTATATATGTTTTTCTCCATTCAATACTATAAATAAAAATCTCTTTTCATAAGATTTTGTATTTTGTTTTGTAATTTCTTTTCCCATGTACTCTATACTCTGTTTTTTGTATCAATACATTTGCATCGAATTAATTGTATGGTTTGAATAGGAATCTAACGAATAAGTAAAAATAATATAAAAATCTAAATTTGATTTAGTTTTTTCTTATATACAGTGTATATATATTATCTGATAAGTAAACCCCTATTATTTAAATTGTGTTTCAATAGTACATAGACATAGAGGGAATTACACACAGAATATTCTTTGTATAAGTTTATAATTTGCTCACACTATTTCTCGCGTAACAAATATGTTTGCAATTTTTTTGTTGTATTAAAAAATTTAATTTCCTTTTCAAGTAATAAAATAGAGAATAATAATAATTCTTATTCTTATCGTGTGTTTAAGCTTTCTCTCCCATTATTGCTATTATAGTCATCGCTATTATTATTACTATTATTACATTATTATTGTATATTTTTCAACACAATTCGTGAACTCTTTATTCTCTCTCTCCCTCCCTCTCCATCATCCCTTTCCCCCTATCAATAGGTTTTCTTACATTTAAAGACTTCTGTGAGAATGTATGCGACGAATCAGTTCCGCAATTAAAGTTTTACGAAGAGGTAATGGATTTTATTTATTTATTTTTGTGCACATTTCATATGTTATATAGTCTTTTATTATTATGTTGCCTGAAGTTTTTGTGTGTAATTGTTTTTTCCATGCAATATAAATAGTGTATGATTGTTATAATTGAAATCTCCTGTTCAGATGTTTATACAATAGTTATATGATGTAAGAATCGTTAAGTTATAGTACACTACATGTATGTTTAATTGCTTTGTTAATTGTTTTATAGACTTGCAGTCAATTTGAAGATTATATAAAATATTTAAATTTCTATTTCATCCGATGTTTATTGAAATGATTTTGTTTTCAGATTAAAAGGTACGAGAAGTTGGAGACAATAGAGGAGCGACGACAGGCCGCCCGAGAGATATACGACAACTTCATTATGAAGGAGTTACTGTCGCACACACATGTATGTCACACACACACACACACTTTCTCTCATCCCTGTCCCTTATCACTAATCACTGTCCACTAACTGGCAAATGTCGTACCGACACGTTGTGTCACTTTTTTTCGGTTGACTTTTTTTGGTTCCCTGAGGCTATCAATTGTTTTATTCGCGAGTATTAGCTTTTTATGTATACTTTTATATACAGTATGTTGTAATTAGCGATAAATTGAGTGAATTTTGTGTTAACATTCAGGTTTTAATTGTATTTATTATATTCAGCTATATTTCTTATAATTTGTTATATCATACAAATATGTTATTTAATTTAAACGCAATTACAATTAGTGGACTAGTGTCAGGTATAATTTATAATTTAATGCCATGCTGATTTTGCAGTCAGAATCGTATGAATTATAAGAATTTACAATTCTTTAAATTATTAAACTGTGCTATAATTTTATTAATTTATTAATTTAATATAACCAAACCAAATCCCAAATATAATTAAATTTAAATACCATTCCCTTAATGAATCATTATAGTAATTTTAAAATTATTCTCTGTTTTACTATAATATTTTAAAATATATTAATTGTGTAGTATTTTTAGCTATATCCCTATCAAATACATGGCATACCAGCCCACACCAAAACATTTAAGTGCATACTATAATCGTATGCAAAGATTAATTTGTTGACAAAAATAACTCAATTTCTTAATGAATTTTAAGCGAAACCCCAAGAATTCAATTGATTACACAATCATTTATCAGTATAACTCATACATTAAGTATATAATAAGGTGTGTATTACTTAGTAACCGGACTGCAGTTAAATGTTTATAAAATTAAAACTATTTATTGAAATCAAATTATATTTTAAACATAAAGTAAGTAGTATTCAACTGATAATTAATATTATTCAAATTGAGTCAAAACACCTTTCCTCCCGATCTACCGGAGCCTCTTTAACAGGCATCTCATAAGAGCCTTTCCATGCTTTTTGACGATTGTTTTTAAGATATTATTCCAAAACAATTAAATTCAGTGACATTTTTAGGTGTTTCTGATCTCATAGGCAGTCTAACTTAATATTATGTCCAGTACTTTTCACTGGGACGGGCCTGTGGTAGGTTTGGGGCATTCAGTTTTTTTGGGCACATTAGGAAATTCAATAGAATTACATTAGTTAAGTACATTTGGTTTACTAACCTTGTAAATTTTTTAAATATCATTTTTAAAGTTAAATTTATTAATATTTTTTGAATGTCTACATTATGATTAACAATCCTAATTAGTGACTAACCCTAACAATGCTTTTGTTTTCACGCACTAAACAAACTAAATTATTTATCATCAAAAAAATGATCAATTTTGGACAGCAGTTTTTATGAATTATAAAGTTTGATTGCTTATCATCCCTTTCCCTTATAATTCCAAACAATGTTATGGTATACCATTGATCTATTATATGATGGACTATAACTTAAACATTTGTTCAGAAACGACAATCATATACAGCGCGCGCGACATAACAATTAAATTAGTCCGGTTACTAAGTAATACACACTTTATACAGTGTATTATATAAAATTCTATATAATATTCCGTAAGAATATTCTCTATACTATTCTCTATGCCAGTGATGACCTCAAGAATGTATGCATCCATTGATTCGCTGCTTTTATTGCCAATCGATTGTGTGGTGTCCTAACCGTTGGCTTTAAATACTTGTATCTCTTGTACAGAATTACTCGAAAGACGCCGTAAA